ATTATTATTATTATTATATTATATTATATTATATTATATTATATTATATTATATTACATTATATTATTTATATTGTAGGAATTTTGAATCAGATATGCGTATAACTTAAAATAAAATATAGAAACGTTTTTTGAAAATGTAAATAAAAATAGGAATGAAAAGTTGACAGCGTTCAGTAAATTTTCAATATTAGCTTCCGCATGTCTTTCAGCATCTCTCTCTCTCTCTCTCTCTCCCCATTCTTCCCTTCATTAAACAGATGATGTAAATAACTGCCATCTATTTTGAATATTGATTTCAGAAAAATGCATTCCCATGAATGTTTCGATTGTATTTGTTATCATTGTTGTATTATGTGTCGATTGATATGCTCCAATTTTTCATCCTTTAATTTCTATTTTTGTTTTTTTATATATATATTAGAAAAAAAAAGCGGAAGAAGGAAATTAAACGAAAAAAAAAAGAAAAAAGGAAAAAAACGTCGCTTTCTTCCCAATCTTTCCTGAAAAAAGAAAAATAAATAAGAAAATTATTCCTTCAAGAAAAAAATCGTGAAATTAAATTTCATGTTTTTATCAATTTTTGAATTTACAATTTCAAATTTATGAATGATTCAATTGCTAGTTTTTTAAATAGTTGTTTATAAAATTTTTTCGTCAATCTTTGAACTTTATCGAAAGTTTGGTAAAATAATGTTCCAAAAAATTCTTTTTTTTGAATGCTACAAACGAACAATTTTATCGTCAATCAAAATTTCAATTCAACAACGCTATTTTATTTATTTTCTTCATCTTTCATAGATTTTTTTTTTTTTTCCACCATATCAATGAGAGTAATATTGAGGAGACAGACCACTTGGGAGTATTGGATGCTTTACATAGCTTTGCCATTTTCTTTCAAATGTGAATTATAATTGTGTAGTTGTGAATGTTTTAAAGATTATTTTATATTGCATAAATTTATAATGTAGGATATTTTCCATATTATGTTGTATTTTTTTTTTTTCTTTTTTTTCCTGTTGATCTCAGCTATTTTGCAGATATTCCGCGATTTACAGATGGCTATGAATAGGATTCAAATATGCCAGCTCTAGGTGAATTTCTCAGAAAAGCACATGGAGCACTGAATAGCATTCGAGGTTTCTCGTCCAAATATTTCATCCAATTATGATTTATTATCCAAATTAGTATATAATTTACAGAAAAATGCATAAAATCGTAATTTTGAAATTAGTTAAGAAATTTTACAATCTTTTCGTTGAATTGTGTCACAAAAATTACAATTAATTAATATTGTTTATTTATAAAAATGTTTAACATTTGCACATCATTTTCCATATTAAACAAATGCCTCAACATCTATTTAAAAAGAATAAATGATGTTTAGCTTTACTTTTAATTATAAATAATAATTGATGTTTACTACCAACATAATATCCATATAATATTAAAATTGATTGAAAGGAGTAAAGTTATATAAATATTAATTGTCGTGCAATTTTTCTTTTGTATTATTATCTATTCAATTTCTTGATGTTTAATATCTATATTAAAACCATACATTGTTTTTTAATATCTCGAAATTTTTAAAATTTAATTAAATTAATGGATTTTATGAGTGAAAAATTTTATAATTAAAATTTATAATTTCTGTTTCTTTTTTTTTTTTTTTAAGGTTCTAAATAATACGTTTATTGGTCAAGATGGTGATATCGTTTATTCGAAAAACAATGTTTGCATTCATGATGTTCGTAAAAATGACCAACAGGTATTACGCTTAATTTGTACCTTTATATTTATATCACTTCAATGCAAAACAATAATCAATATTAACAATTTTTAGGATACCGATGATACCATACAGCATATTCCTGGATATTTGACATTGCAATGTCAAAGTGATGATACATTAGGAATTACTCTTATCTTACAATGGCTACCTAATGCAACTCTTGAAAAAAATCCGAGAAGGTAACATGGTATTATCAAGGAATTCAAATTTTTCTTCATTTCAAATAACGGCCGAAAACTTAGTTTAAAAATTAATAATTAGCTATGTCTAATTATAGCATTCGTAGTGTATCACAGAAAAACCAAAATGTTGATGGTACCAGTTATGAGCGAACAAAATTTCGAAGCATCAATAATCAGGTTTGTCAAAAAAACCATTACTCAGGTATCATTTTAATTTCAATAATTAACATGAAATGTGACAAATATATATATATATATATATATATATATATATATATATATATATATATATATATATA